AATCAGAGAGCGGAGCTGCACCTCAGTGACTTTAAATACAAATGATCACGTTAATACCAACTTCATCATAAAGTGCAAACCGTGGACAGAATTTAAGAGTCAGGAATGGACAGAAGGACAGTGAGTGAGTGAAAGAAAAAGAAAATCAGTCCAGGCTGGTGCAAGGTTGGGGTGTGTCTCCCTTGTTTCACTGCCAAGCCACTGTGTGCATGTGTGTGTGTCTGTCTGTCAGCGACAGTTGGTTGTTATCGCCACTGACTCAAGCATCATGGGAAATTCTGAGTACGTGCACACAAACACACGTCAGAGGTCCTGTAAGCCAAACCTCTGGACATTACACAAAGATGGAGAGAGGGAGATAACTGAGAGCAAAGGATGACGGACGGGGGTGGAGGTGGGGGGGGGGAGAGAGAGGAGATGACTAAGATTAACGTAGAATGAGGAAAGAAGAGAAATCAGGCACAGCTGACCGGCAGAGCAGGAAGAAGATTGTTCTCAGGACAAGACGAATGAATGATGTTTCAAAGAAAAGGTGTCAGAAAAGAGGTGGTAACTAATGGAACGATGGAAAAAGAGAGAAATATAGATAGAGTTATTTAAGGGGAAATGTTAAACAAAGTGAGGAGAAGGTGACACGAAACAGATGAAGATAAGTGAACAGAAAGGAAACAGATGATGGATGGGATGAGGAGGAACACCTGGAGAAAAGGTGAAAGGACACATGTTCAGATAGATATGTAAAAGGAGGAATGAAATAAACCAGATTGAAGAGGAAATGTTGTAAAACAAGACTGAGAGAAAAGGTGAGACGGAGGCAGGTGGTTTAAATAAAAAGAGAATAATGATGGATGGAACAAGAGAAAAGGCCACAACATGCTCCTTCAGGCTGTGCGTAGGGGGATATCTGAAATGATACTGCAATTGTAGAAATTGCTTTTTCAATATTCGGAATATACACTGGTTTCGAGAGGTGTAGACTCGAGTCACATGACATGGACTCAAGTCAGACTCGGGTCACAAATTTGATGACTTTGGACTTAATAAAATAAAAGAAGACTTGCAACTTGACTTGGACTTAAACTCTAATGATGTGTGACTTCATTTGGACTTGAGCCTTTTGACCCAAAGATAAAAAGCATATTATTTAAAGCGCTCCACGAATCAGTTAATTCCCAGCAAGTCGAGGGCTAATATCTGAATTAAATCCTTAAAGTGATAGTTCAGGTTTTTGGACATGAAGTTGTGTGAAACGCTGACCATCTGTAGCTCTGATGTGACGGTGTCATTACTGTGAATGAGCCTCCTGCTCTGAGAAATCGCCCGTAGCCTGCCGGAGAAAAAGTAGTTCACTCCGCCGTGCAGGCCCACAAGACAGCACGCGAACAGAAATCAGTTAGACAGTTCATCATCACGCCGTGCAGGTGTGCAGGATAGCAACGGCTAATGAAAACTTCATCGGCTGTTTCCAACAGAGAACCAGTAGGCTATTATTAGTGAGGAAAAAGATGTACTAGCCCTATATATACCTACTACTACAGCGCGAACACCGGCTCAGGCTCACGCTGTCTTGTGGGCCTGCACGGCGGAGTGATACTGGCCAGAAAATAGTCCCAACTGATAAGAAGGTTTTATGTAATGCGGGGATGTTTTTAAATTATTGAAATAGTCTAACAAAACACACGCATACTTTTTTGTAGCTTAAAACCTTTTGGTTACGTGTCCCCCTTATATCTTCAGAACTACTTTTTCTCCGGTAAGCTACGGGCGATTTCTCAGAGCAGGAGGCTCGTTGACAGTAGTGACACCGTCACATCAGAGCTACAGATGGTCAGCGTTTCACTCAACTTCATGTCCAAAAACCTGAACTATCACTTTAATTCCACTTTGTTTGAACCATTCTGCAAGCAGCCAATCAAGTTGCAGGAAAGAACTGACTTGGAACTTGAGTGCAAAGACTTGAGACATACTTGCAAAACAATGACACGGACCCACCTTTGCTGGTTTCCTCTATAACTGTAGTTAGACATTAGAGGGGGAGTGTTTCAAAAGTTCTCCAAGAGCCGAGTCCTCAAACTCAAATCCATAGGGGCTGAGCTTTCATGCATATTGGTGCCCGTCCTACATAAAATGCACTGTCAGTGCTGCGTCCTTCTCACCTTGACAGAGAAAGTGGTACTTTCTATCCCCTCATCTCAAGTTAAGCGCTGTTTAAAAAGTTCTTGTGACATTTTTGGGTTGTAGTCTTTTGGATGCCCTCGCATGTCTTTGCACAGGTTCTAAAAATTACTTCAGTGAGTGATCCAGTTCACTGACCATGAGTATCATGAGTTTCACAAAGCAGACACAATACATCTCGATCACGGCCCGAATGCGACGAATCCTTAAATACAAGCAGCACGCCTTTCGTTGAACGCCATATCCCTTGGCATCAAAATGAAATGAAGAGCAGAGCAGCAAAACTAAAGCCTACACTGGAGATCAAATATTTTAGGTACCTCTATTCAGAGAAATGGGTTCCATCCACAATGCCCTTGTCATCTGTGTAAAAGCGTATTAACTGATCTCATTAATAATAGCTGGATATCTGTGTTGCAGTGTCCTCTTTCTTTTCAGCTCTGGTTCGAAATCTCCAGGGGAGCCACATCATTGAACACTCTGGGATCACTGAAATAGGACTTCTGGAAAGCCACAGTCCATATCTACACATTCAGGTGTGTTAATTTCCTCAGAGCAGTGCAGAGAAGCTATCAGTAGGCCAAAAGGAAGTTTGAGGAGGAGGAGAGGGCTTGTTTCACATTTTTACTGTGCAGATTTTCTGAGCCAGATTTAGATTGTAGTAACTTAATGCACAGAAAAATTGAAGAAACAGACGTCACAGCACTGACCACACAGTGAAGCTGACGAATGATCTGTGGTGCAGTTCAAAAACAACACAGCAAAGACTGAAAACAGTCTATCTACCCCAGAAAACAACTTGAAACTGGCAGCGTACAGCTTTATGGACACTGAAATGTGACAATTAAAAGAAAAAAATAACCATCATCATTAGTCACTGCCCGATGCTGTTTCTGCTTCCCTGTAATTGGCCTTGGTGGTCTGAATGTTTTGAGGCATATTTCAGATTTTATGGCCAGCAGTGCGCTCCATTCCCGCTACTGAAGTAAGAACAGTGGCCACAATCCAGCTCAGTCACGCCAACATTAACAAAGATGAAAAACCCTAAGTAAGTAATGAAAGAAAAGCCAAACACTGCGGCACATAAGGCAAATGAGGAGGTGCTGGCACTGCCTTATCCCAACATTTCCAGGTAGGCAGCCAGATGTTGCCTTTACTTAGGTATTGTTGTAGTTTTAAGATAAAATCTGACACGGCAGTATGAAAATGAATAATTTGCATGGCTGGATCCGAGTCAACAAACATATGTCAGTCATCTACATTCCTGGACTCACACTCACAGGGGTTTAGAGAAGGCTGATCTGCCTTCTAGTCTGTCTCTGACTTCATCTCCTGTTGTCTTTTTTAATACCACATGTCATGTGACATCTAAATACACTCCTGTTTCATATTGAATGTCTTTGTATTTAAAAAACAATCCATCATTTCACAGGGCAGTAGGTCAAAATTGAAACAGGAAGTCATGCTGTAAATCGTGACATGTAATACACACCGATGACTCCGTGTTCCAACTCTGACATCTAAATAACACCTCATTTGAAGTTATATGCCGTTTTTGCAGTGACTGCGCTGAGCTGCTTCATCACCATGCTGAAAAGATTTAATCACTGACGGGCCGACTCTTCGCTAAACAGTGTCACAGCTGCACCTTGGGCGACTAACGGCCTATTATTGCATTCCCGCACACATACACGTGAGCGGGCATCAGGATAAAATGAGTATTTAAAGCCTTTGTGTGTTATGTGAATGCATGAACACATGCTGACACACGTGGACACGGACAGCGTGACGTGTGCTCTGGCCCAGATAGGTACACACACACACACACACACACACACTGTCCAAAACATGCAGACACAACGCAGTGATAATATTGGCTATCAACAGGCCATTCCATACATGCCGTTCGGATAAATAGACAGCCAGAAATAAAAAGGAGGGACGGTGTGTAGTGTGAGAGAGAAGGTGAAAAAACATAGACAGAGATTAGGATGAGGGGATGAGGGGATGGGGGGATGGGGGAGGTGGGGTGCGTTAATTGAGCTGCCTTCTAATGTCATTTGATCCAAGAGGCCTCACGAAATGTTCTGACCGGGCCAACATCACACAGATATATATACACACACATATAGTAAGTGGGCAGATAAATGGAAGAGAGAGGAGATGGGGTAAGAAAAAAGTAGCAGACTAGAAGAGGTCACTGTGTATATGGGATTGAAATAAAACACTTTTAAAACATCTGCACTAGACAACCACAATAAAAATCTCAAAACCCTACATCCTGCTGACTCACTGTCTACTGCGTCTGGCTAATTATGTCAGAATCCAATCTTACTAAACTAATGGCTTAAGCGCAGCCACCAAAGATATGGAGAGGAGGGTGCCTGTTGGGGAGTACAGATGGAGTGCAAGAGATGCAGGGCTAAAAGGATGTGGACCGCAAGGACTTCAGGGAGATAGAGGAACAGGGGAAGGAGGAGGCAAACAAGACCGGGACAAATTGATGAAACCCATTTTGGCTGAACTAATGGACTGGATAAAACCACAATAAGAGACAAAGAGACGCAAAGAGAGAGAAAGAAGAAACAATTATTTGGAGAGACAACTGAAATAGCTGGAGGAGGAAGGAGCGTAGCTATGAGGTGGAGTTCAAGTAAACAAATAACAAGTGCAATATCCATATTGGCACTTATGTTGGTGCATTAAGAATCCATTGTGGTCTGCTTTAAAGTGGCCCACTTGTACTTGATCATGTCTGTTTTTGTAAGTCCATTTGGCCTACTTTGAGAACAATCTCTGCGTGTGTGTGTGTGTGTGTGTCTTACCAGGTTGGACCCTCCAGTCCAGTACAGGAAGAATCCATCTGGGTCAACTTTCAGGGTTACCAGGGTGGGGGGCCCGCTGTTGGGTTCCTAGACGACAACAGAAATAGAGATGTTAGAAAGACGAACAATAATATCCATCTCACCCTCAAACACAAACACACAACACAGTTACAAGTACAAGTGAGCTCCAGTTTTATAACCAGAAGCCAATTTGCTGGCACTTTTAACTATCAATTATATTGATTAGAGCCTATAAAAAGTAATTGCTTATGTCTGGGAACAAGGCAGAATTGTTAAAATGATGTCTGACTGGACGAAAATCTCGAATGTTCAGCTGATCAGTTTAACCATACTATCTCAAATGAAAGTGAGTACACATGAAGTCTAACTATCCCTCACTGCACAGGAAACTATGTGCACAACTGGAAAGTACAGCACTGTTGGCCAAAATCGAACCAGGAAGTCGCTCTGCAAATTGTGAGGGATGTTTACAGCCAAGAGTACGGGTAAATGTTTCTTTCACATTCTCTTCCAAGTAAGTTTGGCTGAGACCTGTCTCATTGTCATGCAACCAGTCTGACTACTTTGTAGTAACAAATGTCGCTGCGTTCCTACATCTGAGCAATTGATTTGGTGAGTAAAATTTAAGGTTGTCACATTTCATTTCAAATCAGAACTACTGTTCGAACAGGAGAGAAAACAGGCATTATTCTGAAATGATAAGCTGAAATTCAAAATTCACAGATGAATTCACAAAAAAATTATTGCAGCTGCTGATAGCACCATGAATTAGGGTTGAGTGATATCTACCTAATTGGCAAAGACAATGTCCACAGTGAAACATCCCAATGGATGATGAACTGTCACTTATGGATTTTGGGAATTTTTGGTCGTTTCTGATTTTTGTGATGCAAGACTGCGTTATTCAACCTTCCAGACAGTATAAATGTTGCCTTTGTGTGAAAAACACAGGCAGAAGAAAAAGAAAACTGGAATTTTCAGGCCGCGAGCTTCAGGTCAGGCAAGAAATTTAAACATAACAGAGAGAAACCGTATTTGATTCAGCGCTGGGCTTGACACCCCTCATAAATGAGCATTCATCAACAACCAACTCTCTGACGACGCTATTACTTAAACTGTAGTAGTGTGTGTAGCTCTGATCTTTGCAAATTGGACTGATCTTGCTGTGAGGCTCATTTGCAGAGAAAGGGGCCAATTTCACGGTAAATTTATACACATTACCAAATTTAAATACCTGCAAATTGCACAGGAGCACTAATAGACACTATTTGCTTGGCAGCGCAGGTATGTGTGCATTTCACCCTTTGCAGGTGCTTTGAGAATTACATGGTTTCTTTTTGTCTTATCTGTGCAGGTTTAGCAGCTGCAAAAGCCATGCAATCCTTTTGTGAATTCATCTCCTAGTGTATAACCACAACAGGCTATGCCTTGTACTCCAGCAGAGGATGTTCCTGTAAAGCTCTGTCCATCTGACCCACTGCAGGCCCTGTTGTCTGATCACTAAAACAGGCTATTGTTCTCTTTAAATGAAGAGATAAAACTTGCAAATGAACAGCAGAATGTAAATTCTACGGTTCAGTTTAGGTGACAGGCTACGTTGGTTGCATGTAAACTGAATCAAATGATTTGCACATCAGTTTGAATTTGTTCAAATTTGTTGTTTTTTTAAAGTGAAAGATGGTGACAATGAGATTGTATGAGAGCATCATTTTGTTTCCGAACTCAAATTTCCTCAGCCAGTGTTTTTGAAAGCTACAGATTGGACTTCTAATTGAGCCCTGGGTTCATTTCTGCTTGGTCAGTCTTCTTGTTATACACAACAGGATCCTTGAGGGGCCATAAAAGCAAACAGGCCCTATGATTCATTTCGTTCCCAAGCTGTATTTAAGTAAACAACTTCTAGTGTAAAGAGAATATTGCAGCAGCTTCTCCCTCTACAGAAGTCCCACAGCAATACATTAAGGACAGAGTGACATGAAATAAGCTGTTTATGGCAGCAGAGGCTCTAACTGCCATTGTATGGTGCCTTGCCATTATGGGATTGTAGACAGACAGGAAGACAGACTGATATTGTGTGTTTCTGCGCACGTGACGTGCAACAGCTGTTTCGATGCTGGAAACCACACAGTTTGGCCAGCATGAAGAACTCATTCGTGTTCAGCATAATGATGGCACAGGAGCCTGCATCAACATGTCATTAGCATCATCATTATGGGGTCATATGCAAGATACCATGACCGCACACACACACATCCACACACACACACAGCAACTGGCTCTGTAATTACAGCAGCGAGTGGTCACACTCTGGCCCAGACAAACATACCGTCCAGACATCCTGGGAAACATCGATGATGATCCAGATTGTTTGTTACTGCAGTGACAGATGACTCATGTACACATGTCGTCATGAGCATCAATATCAGCGTCATCATCTTCATCATCGCCATCAGATTGGAAACGAGATGATCTGTCCGGCAACCCACAGAAACTTTCCCACCAGCATACTATCAGAGGAAATACAGTAAGTTTACAAAGCAGCGACCCACAAACAACTGACCACATACAAACGATACTTCTTCAAGTGGGGTTAGACAAAAAAAATGACGACCATGTGTTTTTCACAAAGCTAATATAGAAATGGTCACAGCTTCATGTTTAACACATTAATGTGCAAAGACGATCAGAGAATCTGACTGCTAAATAATCATTCAAGACTGAATGATTTCAAATTCTGCATAACAAACACGATCCAGCGTTAAAGACTTGACACACATCAATTTCTCTAAGAAGTGGGATTCTGAACCAAAGACAAGCAAATTACCCAATGTTCTATCATCACTTTATAAAGGCCCTGACACACCAAGTCGACGAGGGGTGGTCGGTCAATGTCGGGTTGTTGGTGAGCATTTGTCGCCCTTGTTTTTGCGATGTGTCCCGCTCCCTTGGCGCTACAGTCAGCCCTCGTCGACTGTTTTTCAGCTGATTTGACATTGTCTTCAAAGCCGGTGGAGACTATCAGTGAGTGAAATCACTCTGGGAGTTCAGCTCAGCACTCAAGAAGAGAAACAGAAGTGAGGAAAGTAAACAGGCGGTTACAGTCAAGCGAGTGTGAGATCTAAACAAATCTGTTTTATCAGACAGGATTATTTGTTTTAGCCACTGAGCTCTTTAGCAGAAACAGTTCATAATTGTTTGTGTTATTTTACCCTAGCACACGGTGAATGTCGTTTGTTCTTTCACATCAGGTTGTGTTGGTAATATGCTAACTGGTTAACTAGTGTCTTGAATCCGTCCTGTCAATCTTCCTGTTTGCCCTTTTGAATGATGAATACAGACTACCACTGCTTGCTGGTACGGAGAGTTGTTTCCTCCACACAGACGCAGAATGTACGTGCTAGTTGGCTGTTGGCCGTAGTCTCTGGAGGGTGTTCAAGTGCAACTTCTTGGCCGACACACAGGCGACATGAGACGAGACAAAAGTTGGCCTTCATTGCGACTAGTTCTTTGATGTTGGTTTGGTGTGTCTGGGCCTTAAGACTCCATAAAAGGACTATTTTACTTATGTATACTCACAATAATCATGCTTGCCTTAAATGGGGGGATAAACATTGTTATGATGTAAAACAGGTACAAAAGACCAACTCATAACTGTATCCCTCTATCACAAAATACATTTTGGAGAGACAATACAAGTTATTTTTATATAAGCAAATTTTTCTTTACCTTCAGACAGAACCAGCTTAGCTTATTACTCATCATGCCTCTCATCTATCTCTCCACAAGTAAGCAAATACGTCTATTTTCCTAAACGTTGAAGTATTCCTTAAAGAAGTCTCCTGGAAATGCACATTTTTCGTGCTCTCTAAAACATACCTTGAGTTTAGGCTCCAAGGTCGGCTAATGAAGAAAGAGTTAGCAGGAGAGGAGTTTGGGTTGGGATAAGGAAAAAAAGGAATACAGAGGAAAAAAGGAAGATGGGAGGAAAGATGGATAGGAGAGGGATCAGAAGGGCGAAGGTTGAAAAAGAGAAAGAAACAAAAAGGTCAGGAGTAGAAGACGAGAGCATGAGATCAAAGTCCAACCACATCATGAGACCTTAATAAGTAACGGTAAATTTAGTCTCTTTCCAGTGAGCATCCTGATCTTAGAGTTAGGTGATTATCAGACTACTTTGATACAAGACGCTTTGCTCTGTAGCACCAGCCAGCTGTGACGTTATCAGGATGTCTTGCTGTGCTTTTATGTAAACCCCAGTGATAGAATGACAGCTTAACATCAAAAGTGGAGCCAACTCTGAATCACTAAACTCATGACCTGAGTTTACTCACTGGAACCAGCGAAAACCTGTATAACTCCAATTTCACGCTGCGATTATCATCTTAAGGCTGTGACCTCATGTCAGATGCTCTTTTCAGCTGCTGATTTGATGTCAACGCTGAGCAGTTATTTAAAATGCAGTGAAGCCTGAGCTCACATATCTGCAGGCATAATGTTTGTTTATCTTTTGCCTGCTACGCTCAATTTTGACAACAAACCATGACACAAACTGGGAAGAGTCGGTATGGAAGGTGCAGACAGTCAAAGGGCTGAAAACAACTTCCATTCTTTTCACACAACTGGGCTTTCTGTTCGATGCAAATTATTTGCAAATTAAAATGCCAGGCTTGGGCAATGGAGGCAAATGAGACTATTGTTAAAATTCAAGGTAATCTTTGCTGCAGCTGGATAAACAAATCCATATTATGCAAGCACCTCCGACATATAACATTAATCCATTTTAGAAAGTGCTCCACTCTATTCAAAAAGTCAGACAGATTCAAATGGGTTTTTTTTCCAAACTAGGCAGTTTCCATTCAACTTCACTGACTTTAATCTAAATATGGTGATGGCGGCTGGTAAATGGAACAGTGTGAGCACCCTCACAATATATTTTTGCAGCTGTCATACTCCATGTTGGATGAATACATTATGGAAGGCAGTGCTATTCTGCAGCAAACAATTCTTATGTGTTAAGTAGGATTAAGTACATGGTTCCATAAACACTCACACAATAACTGTAACAT